AGCTAATTTTTTCTTCCTTAAGCTTTTTTTTCTCGAGCTTCTCAATTAGTGGGCCCACGCCCATGAAATCCTCATTTTCCTCAGCATCAATATCCGTTGTATCTAATCCTTTCTTCTTTCTCTCTTCCCTTTCCCTTTGCTTGTCCCTTTCCACGTCAAGGAATAGCTCTCTAATTACCCTATCCGCCTGCGGTGTTCGGTATGATGCGGAGGAGAATAAACGTACGGAATGCGGCGGGAGCGGCGGATGCCGGAAAAGTGGCTGATTTGCTGCGCCGGCGGCGGACGATGATGAAACGAACCGCAGTTGATTGCGGAGTAGTCGAGCCCAAAACGTCGTCGTTCTGCTACTCATTTTGATCTGCTTTTTCTCCTCTTTGAACTAATAGAACTTCATTTCATTTGGTTTCAAACAAAAATGGTGTGGAGAGTGAAGAAGGAAGAAGTGGATGCAGGGTTTAGGGTATTACGTAACCGGGTCGGGTTGGAGTTGCGGGTCGCTAAATACCTTTTTGCCCTTTTGTTTTATTTTCCTTTTTGTTCGCATTTTGTGTTGATCATTTTTTTATCACTTGTGGTTTTTGCATTGCATGTATACTAATTACCAACCAAGTATAATTCTGAATTAACTCAACTAATGAAGACATACAAAAACAACTATTACAACAAAGATTTAGTTTTCACAAGTTGGTCAGCTTTATGAATCATTAGTGACTGTGTTATCTTATTTAAATTATCTCATTTCAGTTAATTGAAGGGGAGCATTAGCGTAACTGGTAAAATTATTGTCATGTGACTAGGAGATTACGGGTTTGAACCGTGAAAACAACCTCTTACAGAAATACAGGGTAAAACTGCACACAATAGACCCTTATGGTCCGGCCATTCTCCGGAAACCGCACATAACGAGAGTTTAGTGCACAGGGTTACCGTTCATCTCATTTCAATTAATAATGATAATGCTCACACATTTTTATAGCATCATTTTAAATTTTACACCACTATCAACCTTTATCCTTTATACAATAAATTAAAAATATCAACTTTACAAGACTTAGAACCTGAAATCTCAAGGTTTAAATTGCTACCCAAAGATGTCATCACCTGCATGTTGATTTGCATCATTTGGCGGTTTGAAACTATATGAATAATTAGAATCATGCTTCTCTTTGATTCTACAATTTAGTTGAAAGTGTATCCTTCAATTTAGTTATCTTTTCTTTATTTTGAACTTAAGTTGATTTGTTGCACAAGACATTTATGTTATAATCTATTAATGTGTGTAAACTACAAAAGTATATATCATTTTCCTTGGAAGTGAAAATATTTATATATTAGTGTTAAAGTTAGTTAATAGCATTATATCCCATAGAATTGCTACTTAAGATATTTTGATTGCGAAGTTAAGCTAACTTAATAAAATATTACCTGAAATAAGTCTAACAAAATGTGCTCCTTCTTTATCCATCAAATATGTGATGTCCATGACGGCGGGCGACTCACGAGGACGGGTCAAGCAGAACTGGCAAGTTTCTAGGCTAGCAAACTTTTGAAGAATGGGTGTACATGACACCTTAGGCGCAAATCGGAAGGGGGAGAGAAAAGTGGAGAGCTTTACAAGGAATGACACAAGTCACATCGTATGCGCGCTTTATGGGGCTCGAGGTGGCGTTGCCCTAAAAAATTCAAATCCGTGCGGATCTAGACCCAAAGCGAACAATACGTATCATGAGCTTGGATCGTAACAAAAATGGTATAAGAGCCGAATCTCCCTCATTTACGATGGTGGGGCAAACTCAACAGTCAATTGAGTTTAGGCAAATCCCATATCCTTGAGAAGGTGGTGGAGCAACCTCAACGAGGACGATGAGTCCCGGGGGAGGGGGTGAATGCGATGTACATAGTGAATGGCTGGACAATGAGGATTGACAAGCTTTTAGGTTGGCAAGCTTATGAAGAAGGTAAGCACATAACACCTTAGGCGAATCCTACATCGAATTGGAGAGTAAAGTGAAGAGTTTTATAAGGTATGACACAAGTTCACATGGTATGTGCGCTTTTGGAGCCGAGGTGGCATAGCCCAAAAAAGATAAACATGTGCGGCCTAAATCTGAAGCGGACAATATGTGTCATGGCCGTGATAAAATGCTTCAAAGATTGAAGTCGGACTTGCAACTTATCATTCTGTTGTGTTAGCTCATGGGTGATGAAAAAATATTATATACATGTGTTAATATTTAAATGACCGCATATATAAAAATAGGACGCAAATAAAAAATACCTGAATGTTATGAGTAATATTTGTGTAGAAATTCAATAATAAGATGGTATTTCTGTACGGTTTATGTGTTATTTTTTTCATATACGACTATCTTATCTATAGTTTATCATAGGCATTGATCACCTTTAATTTTGTGAGATAAAATATATTGAACGTAATTTATCTCAAGTTTTATTGGTGTTCAAAATGGCCCCGAGAGTGCAATCGAAAACAAGACCTAGCTAGTCGCAACATAGTGTCCCGTTACGTGAGATTATATGAATTTGCATGGATTGAAATGTTATGATTTACTCACATGAAGAGATAGAGGGTGATGCAGTAACATTTGTGATGATTTTGTCGCGCAAATTCAATTATAATTATAACTTAAATACAAAGACATATAAATTATATACTCTCATGAATATTAAAACTCAAATATACCTTTGTTGTTGCATAAAAAACTCAAAAGGCGGGTAAATAAGATTAAAAGTCAATTGTGCATACAAACATAAAGGTTATAGGCATAAAAACATTTGTTACAGGGGTTCGATAATGATATGTAGATCAATTAAAAATAAATTTCTACATAATTTTGATGGACATTTTAACATATCAAATAATTGAATTTGTACTGCTAGCTAATTATATAGTTGGAAACGAACAAAATTGTTCTAGGAGGATTTCACTCTATTGATTAATTAAATTTAATGTGAAAATGTAATGCAGAACTCTTTGCACACAGTTAATCTCATTGATTTAATTATATTACGATAATAACTTATATAATAATATAAATGAATTTAAAATCACAACTTAATACAATAAATGACATCAAACTATAAATAGAACAATAACTATGCTTATTCGTACAACGGTACAATTGAATTTATATTTTGGTTTATAGATGCGTGAATTAGTTTAATCCAAAAAATACGAATAAACGAGAATGAAATCAAGAATGTAAAAATAAGTTAAAGAACTACAAGTCTGTTTGTGTCATTATCTTCTTCGGAAGTAGTACTATGAACAATATTAAGAACAAAAGAAAGCAAATAATTTTATAATTCGAGAGTAGAATATAGCTTTTGTGTACAAAATATTTTGTCCGTACAATGGATGGTAATTATCCTATTTATAGCTTTATTTAGGGAGACAATATCCCAAAATCAAACTCCTATTGAATGAAAATAAATCGGTCATTGATGGATGCATAATGGTTGGCTATAAATGCAGATATTTTTTGTAACAGTTGCTAATGCTATCCGATGTCAATTATTTGAATCTTTGTTATCGGTTACTCTGTCTTTCAAATTCTTCCAGCCACATCCTACCTGCATCCGGTGCCAGCTATCTAGTAACTCACATCCTACCTGTCTTCGGTTCCCCGTGCTACTTCGTCATTCGTCCAACTGTCGCTAACCAATTTTAGCCCACACAAACTATGCTTTAGTCCTAAACTATCAATAAAACAGCTAAAACTAAACTCTAGAAAGAAAACTTAAACATGAGAAAACAAAATTATTATGTTATAAAAAACAAGCAATTTATACTATATTAAAAGCACGAAGGTCCTTAGTGAAATGTTGTTCGCCCCTTTTACCCTTAAAAAATCGAATTTACACTGGATAAAATTGTAATTTAAGTTGCCTTCCTAATATTTAGGAATAAACATTCAATTACCATTTATGCTAATTTCTCTAAAGTTAGAACTTTAAAATAAACTAGAATTTTATATGTTAATATTTCTTTATTGGATTGTATTACAATGTTATTTGCAATAGGAAGACGTGATTTTAATACACTAAAGACTTGTGTTTCAAAAGAAAAAACAATACTAGCTTTTTACCACGTCCAATCTCCGTATCATTTGTAGAATTTCAAATTAAAACGCTAAAAAAAAAGAGAAGATTAATCAAGTACACTACTAAATTGATTAGTTTATATAATACAAAATAACTTACATATCTACCTATCTATATTAAAAGCACGAATGTCTTTAATGAAATATCGTTCGTCTTTTTCACCATTTAAAATTAAACTTCACATTAGACAAAATCATAATTTAGTTATTATCGTAATATATAGTACTTTGAAATCAACTAATTTGGTTATAAAATATTTCTTGTGTTGAATTATGTAGGAAGTTAGGACTTTAATATAAATATTTCTTGATTTTATGTAGGAAGTTAGGACTTTAATATAAATAATTTTCCAGATTTTTTTTTACTTTTTTCGGAATAAGTGTTGATTTTATATTTTAATAAAAATTTCAGAAATAAATATTTTTTTCAATTTTTTTTTACTTTTTTCGGAATAAGTGTTGATTTTGTATTTTAATAAAAAATTTTGGGAAAATATTTTCCACGAAAAAATAATTTTGCTATGGTGATTGTTTAGGTGGATGACCATATAAGCAAATTTAACCCAGTTGACAAGATTAACGGTTTAAGTGTATTTTTGATTCAAAATATAGAGGGCACTGATATTGGAAACATTTTTAAGCTGTTTCAAATAGTTGAAGGGCATTTTTGCCCTTTTCCGTTTCTATAATTACAAGTAAATTATTAGTATCAAAATTAAACGGGGTATCACAGTCCTACATAATCTACTTGTGTCTGGATTGACGTCATTTTCAGGTGGTTCGACCAATCAAATTGTGTATTTCTCTAATACATTCTATGTAATAAAATGAAAATGAAAATAAATAAATAATAGAACAAGGTGAAAATTGAGAAAATCTATATTTGCACAGGCAAACTAAAATATTTACACCTACATCTAAATGACCTTCTTCCCCATTGAATAATTGTCCGAACTCTGTGAAATCTTCACCAATTTCTGATCTATAAACCCACCCACTCCCCGTCCTTTTCTCTAGCTTGTCACATGCTATCTTCTTCCCTAAGATCTTCAGGTTTAACATTTCTTCCCGATGTGAAAACGATAATTTTATGCTATGTTTATGTGAATGTATTCAATTATTGGATTTGTTTTGATTTCGGACTTAGATTTTCTTTTAAAGATCTAATTTTTATTAATCTAATTGTTTTTTTTTGCTTCAGATCGAAATCAGTCGAATCATTGAAAACCGGGTTCACTTGTTACGGTAAAAGTTTCGGCGAATTCATCCTCAGTTCATAACAGACGACGCCGTTTCCTTGCTGCCGGCGGCGACGTCCTTTAATTCCATTAACATCTCAGCTGGTGAGTCTTTTTAATTTGGGGAATTCGCGCTTGTAGTCCCTCAAATATCAACAAATTCTGATTTTGATCCTTGTGATATCTTGCTCTTGGTAAGCACTCTTGACCTTCAATTAATTAAAATGTGTACTTTTGATCCCGTCTGTAAATTCACATAATTCTAATGAATTATTAACTATTATATCATTTATTACCAATGTGTTCTGTTAAATTTGTACTGTTACTTCATATGTGAGAGTAATATAGTTATAAAAAAGTTTAAAAGTAACATATTTCCTATATATAAAAAGACATTAACACACATTTTAATTAGTTGATGGTTAAATGTGATTAGTCATATATCACAAGGATCAAAATTAGATTTACCAATAAGTGAGGGACCAAAAGTGCTATTATCCCTTTTTTAATTATTTATAACCTCGTAATTTTTGTATGTTTCACCAGTTCTTTAATGCTCTATTTTTATGTTTATTATCTGTCTCATTTCTATGTACGAGATCAGGTGATTGTGGGACAGAGCTTGTGTAACTTAGTTGAATTGGAATTTGTGTAGGTGGGAAATTTGGGAATAATCAATGGCAGCTCCAGGGGGACCTCGACCAGGGAATAGACCACCACCCAACTATAACCCTAATGCACTTGCTGATGGTATGCAAAATCTACAATTAAATAGACCTAACCAGTCACCTAGTGCTCCGAGGCCTAATAACCCATTTGGGCAGCAGCCACCTAGTGCTCCTAGGCCTAATAATACACCATTTGGGCAGCAGCAGCCACCTTTTGCTGGTGGACCAGCCGTTAGTCGTCCAGGACCTCCACCACCTGGTGTGTTTCCCAGAGGTCCTAGTGGTGGTCCTCCATACACTGGATTGCCTCCTAATGTAGCTTCTAGACCAACTGGCCCTCCTCATGTGGCTCAATCTGCTCCTCCCTTTGCATCTCGGCCACCTCCTCCTGGTGCAATGCCTCCTTCTATTGGCGGTACAACCCCGCCGTCTGCATTGGGTCCTCGTCCAGGGCCTCCGGGTCCTTTTGCTTCTTCGCCATTGACAACAGGTTCAGCTGTGCCGCCACCATCAAGCATTTCTAGTTCGGTTAGTAATGGACCACCTGCAGGTGGGCCGGGAATGATGCAGGGTGGAGCACGATTTCCTCCTCCAAGCAATACAATGAGGCCACCATTTGGAGCTTCTCCACCAGCTATGGTTTCATCTGGCACTCCTTCTCAGCCTCCGAGCATGCGCTCACCCTTTGGCGGTCCATCATCTATCAGCACAGCACCAGTTACAACACAACCGCCAGCACCATTTTCGGGATCATTGCAGAATGTGCCACCTCCTTCGGGTTCCTCTCCATTTGCAGCACCTGGTCAAGGCATGCCTCCACCCATGGGTGCCCCTTACGGAACACAGTCGTGGCAAATGCCACCCCATCAGGTGATCTTTATATGCGTGTCTTATTGTACTTGTTTTGAAAGGTGAAATTTATGTATTTTTCCATTAAAAAAGGTATGATAGAGTCATTTAGATATGCTATTGAAGGGACAAAAATAATAGAGTTTTCTTCAGATGCATGGTGTTAAGAATTTCCACTAAACTCATTAGCCGAGTATAATTTATTATATGTGATATTTGAAGCTGAGATCTATGTTTAGTTCTTGCCTATGATAGACTACAAAAGAAGGAAGTCATAGGATATATATTTCTTTATCTGGACGGAAGTTTTTGGGTCAACAAGTCACACGAGATGTGTTAATAATCAAATTCTATGCGTTTAATGATCTTTAGTAATCATCAAAATCTAGCGTTGAAGAGATGCTTCATGACTGTAGGATAGAAAGAATCAATAATATTCAGGAACTTGTGATTTCTAATTCATTCAAAGATAATTAGAGAAGTTTTTTTATGAATTTGTAATAAAATGTACCACTATTTTAAATAATTGTCATTTTAGTATTATGTGCATTATGTTGCTATTGCTTCTTTTTTCATCTTTCCTTGAGCCGAAGGTCTATCGGAAACAATCTCTCTATCTTCTCACTTCTCAAGGTAGGGGTGAGGTATGCGTACACACTACCTTCCCCAGACCTCCCACTTGCGGGATTACACTGTTTTTTTTTTTGTTTTTTTTTTGGTTGTTGTTGTTGTTGTTTGTGCATTATAAATTTTCTTTTTATCTTTTTTTCCCAACTTTGTGTAATTGCTATTAATAAAATTACCTATGTGAGATACTTCTTTATCTTTTAACTTTTAACATGTTTGGAATTCTTTCATTATTCAAAGTTATTAAATAATATTTTTTATTATTGTTTATTTATTTTTACTCCATAAATAGAATTTGTTTTTATTTATAAGCTTTTATATCCTTGCTTGGGATTCGGACGTTCTTGAAAATTATTAAAAATTTCTTTTGAGTATCATTTGCTATTTATCTAAGTTAATTCAAAGTGTAAATAATGAAATCCTTCTATGAATTTGTTATCTAATGTGCCACTATTTCATATAATCATTATTTTAATATTAAGTATATAAGTATTTATCAAAAATAAAAATAAAATCTTTAGTATACAACTTTGCTGAAGTTTCGCTGGACCATCTGAAAAGGATAACTGTCTTTCACAACTGAAGCTACAACAACCTAGCTATCCCTTTGTAATTAGAAGAAGAGGTATAGCAACCTCACAAAAAATTTACATTTAATTCAAAAACACCCTAAAGTACACGGCACTTTTCCAATATAGTGTTTTCTTTAGTTTGTTTTTGATAAGAAGTGTTTTTTCCTTTGTTTTCTATTGAAATTCTAAAATTCTGTGGATATTTTGGATCAAGTAGATTGGTTTCAATTTGCTTTTATTGTATTTCCACTTTCATGCGAAGTACATATTCTGAGTTTACTTATTGGCAGGGGCCTCCGCCTTCTGCTATTCCTGGTTCAATGCAACCACCAAGTATGTACGGAATGGCGCCTCCTCTTCCAAATCAGGCAGTGGCTTCGATAACTCCTTCTATTGGTCATACCAGCCCATCAAAAGTTGATCCCAATCAAATCCCGCGCCCAATTCCAAATGCCTCTGTAGTTCTGCATGAAACCCGACAAGGCAACCAAGCCAACCCCCCTCCGGTAAATTATCATTTCCTTTAAAGAAAGAAAACATTTGGCTATAATATCTTGCTTGGTTGTATTGGACTGTTGCATTTACGTATGAACTATCTTTTCTTCAACTAGTTATGCTTGCCTCCTAAGGGTTCAAATTAATCTATTTTTTTATTTTTTTTTATTTTACTGCTTTTTCCTGATTTACTTTTATGTACCACTTGAAGCCTGCCACAAGTGACTATATTGTTAGGGACACTGGAAATTGCAGCCCACGGTACATGAGGTGTACTCTTAATCAGGTACTAAACTTCTTTGCATTGTTCTTTTGTCTAAACACAATTCTTTCCTCTATGGTTTCTGCATGTATGCTCTTTCATCTTTCTATGGAAAGAAAAGCTTATTAACCATACATTTTTAATTAATTTTGGTCCTTGCTGTTTGTGTAACAGATTCCATGCACTGTTGACTTTTTGACAACCTCGGCAATGCCATGGGCTTTATTGGTCCAGCCCTTGGCTCTTCCTCATCCATCTGAAGAGCCCCTCCATGTAATGCACTCTTTGCCATCTATATGTTCTTATTTTAATAGCCCTTCTCTGTGCTCGCTCGGGTATTAGCTAATACTCATAACCAAACACCAGATAAATTTAAGCCGACATTTTATACCGCGATTAATATCCTAATCCCACTAATCAAACGGTCCCTAAGGGAATTTAAGAAGGCTAGCTATATGTCTACTTTATTTACAACATCTGAAGTACACATAAAGCTGCAGTTAATAAACTTTGTACCTGAATCTTTGTCTAGTGCGAGATATTAGTTCTGCCCAGATATTTCATCTATATTTTGTGGTTTGCATCAGTAAGGCTTATACAAGAGTATTTCTTGCTAAATGTACATTTACTTGTGTGAAGAAAGTTGGCTGCTGTTACCCATAAAAATTTGTCAATGTCAGCATTAGCTATAACCTCTGATGCCAACCCTATTGTATGAACCTGTGGCGTGGTAGGAAGTCACTTGAAGTAGATGGTAGTAGTGACGAAGGCATCTTTTTATGCTGGACGAGTGTTTCGCACTCTAGTTAGTAAAAGTGTTACAAGTCTTGCTATCTAAGTGGTATGAAGAACGCCGGGAAAATGGTCATACCATAGAAGGAGAGGAGAGCAGAAAAACAGAAAGGTAAAACAAAGATGAACTAGTCTTGAAACTTCACTGGCACTAGATACACCGAGAGATCTAGAGATCTAACAGTGATCAAGTGCTGGGGAGGTAGTAGTTCAGGAAATGGAATGAGCTAATAAATATTTGTTATTCTTATCTGTGCTTTTAGGAGATGGTAGTGAAAACTTAGGGATTATACTGACTTTTGGATAATTAGTTGCATCTTTGTGGCTTTCGTTTGCGTACCTAGGTTGACAAATATATTGAGGATGTTCTGTAATGAGAAGTTACCTCATTATGAACATACTTTATGTGATGAAGGGATATTCTTTTAGTTATCCTCCATCCAATAAATAAAAATAAAAATGAATACCTTAATAAAAGGGGAAAAACAAAGTGAAACCACTGCTGTTTAACACTTTGTCGTTTCTTTTACATAAAGAGAAAAGAGTACAAAATTTGGCCTCAGGGCTTTGTTCTAGCGGTAAGAGCACAACATGTGATGTGTGGGTTAGGCAAAGGTCACATGCTTGAACATTGCCACAGTCAAAAGCCTGGTATTTCAGTGGAGAAGGGTGTGAGAAGGCACGGGAGAAAATATGTTATTGATATATTGAATGAATGAATAATACTACACA